CTTTTTATTGTGTGTGTGTGTGTGTGTGTGTGTGTGTGTGTGTGTGTGTGTGTGTGTGTCTGTGTATACGCGCGCACGTGAACGTGCATGCGCTGGGATTAAAACAAGGCCTTCATACATGTGAGGCAATTGTTCTCCCACTGAGCTACATCCCAGCCTCTATAAGCAGGTGTGCGTGTATCACATACTGACTTAAAAAGCTTCTGAGCCCAATTTGCCATCTATTTGCATCTAGCTGGTTGCCCATATTCCTCTATTATCTGGCTTAACATTGTTGTCCTTGAGATTACTAAAAAAAAAAAAAAAAAAAAAAAAAAAGAATTATCAGGAAGATTCTTCCTTGTGTCAGTCAGTGATGGTGAGTTGGCCATGCTGAATGGGGATAGAGGATTTCGCTATGTCTGGATTGGGTAAAATGTGTTACTGACGATGATGATAGTTTTGCCTGCTTGGGAGAATGGCCCTTTTCTAGAGAGGCAGCCCTCATCTTTCAAAGCCAAATCCAATTCCTTGTCTTCTAGGATGACTTTCATATTCCTGACCTTAAGCCAGAATCAGACACTCTCCTCTGCCTACTGTATATTGCTCTGGCCTCTGTTCTTGCATTCATTACTTTTTCTTCGCCCACCCATTTAACTCTACCCACCTACCTACCTGATTAATTCTTCATGTCCATTTCACAAGAGTAGTAGTTCTTTGGGTGCAGAAAGAATGAACAAGGGTGACTGTACGAAACTCCCAAGAGATCATTGCCAGTAATAAGGGCTGATAGGAGGTAGAGAGTAGTCCTGGTCTAGTTATGGAGGTGAGTGTTAGGGATCCAAGACCCAATTGTATCTGTGACTCAAGCTCATGCTTTATTTTTCTCTAGTTCAAGAGGAAGTTGACAGCATCCTGAGTCATCCAGGGCTTTAAGTGCTATTCTGCCTTATCCCCAGCCAGCATGGAGGGGGTGGCCAGTTCTACTTAAACAGTCTTGAGGAAACAAAGGAAAATGTACAGTAAATAATCAAGGCCATGCTGAGGGTGTAGTTCAGTGACAGAATAATTTCCTAGCACGTATGAAGCCCCTGGATTTGATGTCCAGCTACACACATGCATGCACACATGAATACACACACACACACACACACACACACACACACACACACACGGGGCGGGGGGTATGGAATATTCATAGCTCTGTGATCTTGCCCAAATTAAGCTAAGCATGAAATTCCTCTTCTCATGCAAAATAGAGATGTTAGTACCTACTTACAGGCTACAATTATGGGACAGAGTGTATAGTGTGATGTATTAAAACACTCGTAATATCAGGAGGATGAGAGTGCCCACTATTTCCTTTTACTTCTTTGTCATTTTCTTTTAGTTTTGGTGATTTTTGCTTTATATCTCAACTGCCTTACTGTTTGTTGGACAGTGACAGGACTGTTTCCTGGGGGAAAATGTGGTCTTTTATTTTTTAAATTATGTAAGCATGAAAACAATGACAAGAAGTATCATCGGAATGCAAACTGAGGCCATGTGATTTCCTTAGCTTGCTGAAGAGGCTGTGTCTACTGATTTGTTCACACCTAGAACATTTGGCACAATGGTTATGAATCAGGAATCCTTCAGTCCACTGATGCGTGAGTCAGTGAGGTTGGGAGAAACACCTGACAATGCACACCACACCATCTCCAACTTCATTCAGATCCTGTTCTATTCCCTCATGGAGCCTACAGTGTCCTGCAGTTGAAAGCATAAAAAGGAGTTCATACTGACTCAGAAATCATGCCTAATCATAGCCACATGTGATAATTTCTGAGCAGAAACAGACGATCCATCTTTGTTTATTAAGAAACTGAAGTCCAAAAGGTTAGGTAATATCACCATGGCAACCAGCCTAACCAGTGGTTAATTCTGAACCAAGAATAATTCTAGAGGTCTGAGTTGCTTCAGAGATGGACTATGTAGTGATTTTTCTCAGAGAGGCTCACGTCTGGTCATAGCCATTTTCGAAGGGTTCATTACCACATAGTGTTAATGACCCTGTGGAAAAGCAATGGAAGTAGTCAATACTTCTTAATTACCAAATCCTGATCAGTGTTTCACAAGCATGAACTATAGATTTGGTGAAACTATGAAATAGGTGCTGTCGCTAGTGCAACTGTCTAGATGAGGAAACAGGCTTAGAGTTATTGAGCAAGCATCCAACACATAACCTTCAGACTTTTTTTCTGATTCTCAAGTTTATATTCTTGACCAGTGTGGACACTGCTTCACTCTGCAGTCAAGTGAGCTTGACTGTTTCTGTCCCATGGTAAACTGTTCACTGCCTTTGTCCTAACCTTTTGAAGGCATGGAGTAGAGCAGCTGGGGGCATTGGAAGAAGGAGGTATGTATTGGAGGATGGTCAGTCAGTCACTCTATGCACTCTGTGTTCACTCGCTCCTATTACCTTCCAGGACCACACCAGATGTCAAGCCATAGCTGTGAAGATTCCTAACTTTTCTGTTTTTGTGAGGCTATGTGGCTCATAGAGTCCTGTGGCTATTTCTCCAAGTAAACCAATGTGCATGACCTCTGGATGGGATGTTGGTGCCTTCACCTGTGGCATCACCTGCAGTTTTCTTTGGACACCCCTTGTAAGGGACAGCATCCCTGACAGTTGAACACAGTAGAGACTCTTCCTAAAGATACAGATCTGTCTCACTGAATGCCAGTTTGGAGCCTTCTCTTTTAGGACATGCAAAGTGTCCTGTATCTCACCTTCCTCAGTGTGAAGCAACTCATATTGCAGCCCATGGATTTGTGTCTAGCCATAGTGAAGCAGAAAGCACATTGCTCTGTGTTGACTAGTGACTGTTTCTAATAACAGACTGGATGCATAGACACAGGGTTCTGAATGCTTGCAGGACATAGTAAGGGGCCTCCTAGCTTTTTGTCACCAAGGGTGGAGGTGGCCTGAAGCAGTGCGTGGGTGGGCCTCTGCCCTGTGGCTTTTTTGATGAGTTTCAGAGTTTCCCTGGGGATGAGCCCTCATTTCTTCTTCCATGTTAGGGACTGTCAGTCACGAAGCATTCATTGACAGGAGGAATGGGGACAACTGTGGATCCCCCAAGCATGCTCTGGCCTCACAGAGCAATTCTTGTATATTTCCCTACAGCATCTGTTTCTGTCAAACTAAAATGGAAAATTTAAAAAGAAAACAACAACAAAACTTCATTCTTGCTAAAGATTGAAGGAGAACACATCTTATGATAGCATTTGTAAGCCTAGGCAATCATGCCATAAAATAAAATGATGACTGTCAAATGGCTTTGTTGAATGCCACCAGATACAAAGAACTCATAAGGAACAGGCAATCTGCAGCAAGGCTGAGTTGTGCATTGCTTTGGGGGAGGGCAGGAACTTGGGGAAGCTTGTAAGGTGGTCTTCATGCTTTGTCAGAATCTTTGTGTGAAACCACTCCCACTGCTCCTTCTCCCAAAGTGACAGAAGACCAGATCCTTGCAATGGCAAGACCGGGCAGTATTGAGGGAACAGATGTTTGCAGCATGCAGCCCAGCAGAATGAGCTGGCTTTCCAGGGATAGAAGGTAGCCCAAGAAAGAGATTTTGGGAATATAGGGGAAGAATCTCATAGGCTAAGCATTGCTACCACTCCAGGTTTGGAAGGAAAATCTTATTTTGTGCCACCTACCAGATGTTCCACCAGCTCCAGATGTGAAAATAATTCATGTAGAGTGGGAAGCTTTGGTGTCTCCTTCACCTGTACTGATGTTAGGACTGCCCTCAAGCCTTTGTTTACATGTGAACATTCACAGTGAGTCATAACTCACATCCTTGGCTTCTTTCATAATTTCTTAGTCTCCTTCTGACTATTGCCACCTAACCTTCCTGTCAAGTTCACCTTTTCCCTGAGTTGATGTCATCCACTTGTGACACAGCCAAGGGCTTCACATGGTCTTGGAGTCAGCTGAATACACAGCCACCTGTGCCCATTCCAGTGCATATAAATCATGTTTGTGGTACACTGCTCTTTGTTATATGTGTAAGTTAACCCTTGAGTTCCCTCAATGATTCATCTCAATGTTTGATGTCTCCACCTCTGTGGCCCACGAGCAGAGCATTGCTTAGAGCATACCAGGGACACCATTTTTTGTGTTTAAAATTCTGCTGTGCCCTTTCTTTGACCTCATTTTAAGAACAGTTAGTATTCAGGTAAGAATATGAACAGTGCACACAGCGTTTTAAAAACTCAATGCATTGCACAGAGTGGATCCCACCTCTTCAGAGTTGTGGGAATTTGAGGGGCACTTTTACTAGTTGCGTTAATTGAGGCATTGTGATTGGTATTTTGTGAGGGGGCACACTTAGGGAAAAAAAGATCAGATTGTATCATAGAACAAAGAATTGTCTCAATAGACACCATGGAGCTTAAAACCCAACTCCTAGACAGGACCAATAATGATTTTATATCCATACATGTCTATCTGAATACTCTTAGACTGACTTTTCCAGCATTTTCAACTGATGTATAAATCAATGGAGGTTGCATTGAATGTGTTAGGAACTTTACCAAGAGATTGTCAAAATATTGATTGAAACATCCCTGCATCACTACAATGTGTGGGGATAGCAAGGCAATGGTGATTATTGAGTGACCAGTGTAATAGTTCTGTCTCTCTGCTCTGGGGTTGTGGCATTCATTTTGGCACTATCAGGACCGGCAGAAGCAATATCCAAGGTAAGATGCTGTAACTTTTAGAGGCATTTTGCCCAAATTCTTAATGAAATGTGTTATTTTATTGTGAGTTACTTTTGTCAGTTTTTCATATTATATGTAGGATATTTTATTTGTTTTTAAATTTTTGAATGGATTATATATGAGTTTCTATTTAGGATGGTTAAGTAATAATCACTAATTTCTAATATATAAAATGGAATATTGATTTTTATGGAGATAAGGAACACTGACAGAAAACATCTAACTGAAATTCTTACAAAAATATTTTTTTCTATTTATGCAAACAGAAAGGATTTCTTGTGGGACTATTAAGAACAGATCAAGATTTTTCAACAAATGTTATGATACAGAATGTCGATATGAGATGTTCAATTTAATGGGTCTTTAATTGAAACATCAACAAATCAGAGTATGCATAGTTTGCATTTGTTCCAGTATTTCTTGAGCATCTTTCCAATTCTTCACTTGCTAGACATAATGAGGCTCTAAAAAAACTCAGTACCATGAAATATAGACTTCAGTATCTAAAAGTATAGACTGCCCTCTCTTGGAGGGCAATCTGCATAAAGAGAGGTGCTTCACAAGCTTGACACTCATAGCCTGACACCCATCACATGGAATGTGCTTGTAATTCTGTAATAGGTTTACCTATCCAGTCTGGTGGCGAAGAGTGGGGAGAGGAATGGCAGGGTAGGAGGAGAAGACAGGAAGGAAGATATCAGAAGGAGAGAGAGAGAGAGAGAGAGAGAGAGAGAGAGAGAGAGAGATCAGTTTGGAAGAGTGTAAGGAAAATGGGCTTTAGAGTTGGATAGAGCTGAGTCCACACCTTGGCTTTCCCACTTAGTGCCTGTCTGCTTCTGGAAAGACTGGATTTGTTCTCTGTAAAATGGGCACAAAATTATCTGCCTTCCTGGTCTGATTTGAAGATTTAGTGAGATCACAAATAGAAAATCCTGAGTAGAAAATCTGGTATCCAAAAGGGACCAAGGCAAATGTCTCACTCACTTCTATCTCCTGTACTTTGTAAATGTTCCTTGTCACTATCTAGTCCTTATTTGGCAGGATATAGTTGATGAATGGTGACTCCCAGGA